CGTCGCCGAGGGCTTCCCGGATGTGGCGAGATCCCGGCGTGCCTTGCGCCACACCCCCCCCGCCACCGCCCCTCGGAAAGGAATGCTTGCTGCCTTGGCGTTCCGGGCCCGCCTGAGGGGCGGGGCCCGCGCGCGGGGGGCGGGGCCAGTGCCCCAGCCCCCTCTCCCGGCTAGCTTACGTGCGAACCCTCAGCTCAGCGCGGGTGAAGTTCCTAGCTTGCCCCCTCACGTGGCAGCAGCCCCAGCACCAGGGCCCCTATCGCCGCAGTGGTTTCATGGCAGTACCATGTGCTGCTGGGGCTTTAGGGGAGCCCAGCGCCTCTCCCTGAAGTCTTCTGCCCCATCATGCCTTCCTCGTTTTATCCTTATTTAGGGCTCCGAGCCTAATGCTGGGCGTTGTTTTACATATTAATTGGGAAATGTTCATAGCTGATTAAATTCTCTCTCTTTTGAATGTGTCATTCATGAATAAACAAGCTTGTATTGGGTATAAATTAGCTTTCCAAAAGGAACTGGGACCAGGAATAAGGAAGTGGGAGTAGGGAGCCAGCTTCAGCCAGGGTTCAAATTACAGCCCGACTCTTGGCCAGGGCCTGCAGTGGTGGCAGTGGGAAGGAGCAGCCAGGCCAGCCACTGGTGTCTGAGCTACTTAGAAAGGTATAGGGTGAGCCTGGGCTGTCCTCTTAATAGGGGGCAGGGCATAGCCCCCCATCTTTAGCCTCATCTCATGCTGCTTCCCAGTGAATTCTTTCTAACATCCGGAGGCAGAACCAGCAGCTCCCAGGCTCCAGCTGCCCATGTCCCGTAGCTGTTGGGCTGGTACCTGCCACCTCCCAAAAAGGGGATAAAGACTTGTCAACCTTATTTTAGATCTGGGGAAACTGAAGCAGAGACAGTAACTTGCACAAATCACAGTTCTGGGCCTGAGTGCCTGTGCTAGGAGCTGCACATTTTGATTTAGGGCTTGTTAGAGCTCCAGCACTAACCCCCAGCAACACACACACAAAAAGAGAGGCACAGAGAGGCTAAGAGACTGTCCCTACAGAACCAGACTGAATCAGACTCAAATCCAGAACATGCAGTTTCTGGGGGTCTATGTTCTTACAAGTGGTCAAGTTAATTTAGATGTACCATATTTACCCAACTCCAAGATGACTAAGTTTAAGATGTCCCCACCCCCAGTAATTAGATTCTACACATGGAAAAATCATAGAATCATAGGTAAGTAGCCCATAAGGGACCTCCAGGGGTTATCTAGTCCAAACCTTGCCTGAAGCAGGATCATCCCTTTCCAAACCTTTATCTAAACTCTATGCAAGCCTACCATCAACCCTGACACAATGCAGACCTAACACCTTAACCTGCCACAGGTAAACTAGGGGAACCACCACAGACAACACCCCGTTTCTATTAAATGCTGTCAATAGGTTCTCAAGAAATCCCAGGTAGAGGGCCACCCCCCCCCAGCAAAGTTTCATCATAAATTTGTTACATTTTCCATGCATAGAAAGTAATTAGTGAAAGGTTAGTTTGAATTCATCCCTGCCCCCCTGCTGTGGCAGGGAAAGCAGCAGACACCTGCCAGCCCCCACTGACATTCCTCAGTCCCACCCCCACAATCTCTGTGCCTGTTCACCGCTTGGCCACCTGCCCATTGCCCTCTGTGCCCATCCCCACTCCCTGCCTTCCTCACCCCCTTCCCCCGGTAGCCTGCTCTCTCACCTCCCCCAGCCCATGCCTGCTCCCCACCTTTTATCATCTTTTGCAGCTCTGCTCCTCCAGGCCAGAGAAGCAGAGGCAGCTCCAGGTAGGGGCTGGAGGAATTGAAGCCAGAGCAGAAGGTAAGGTAGAGGACGGCAGGTTGCAATTCCCTCCTCACCCACCAGTCTCTCCCCTTCACACTCCTCCTGGTAGCAAGCTCCCTCCCTCCCTCCCTCCCTGAAACAACCCATTCCAGCCCAGGGCAGGCAGCAGCTCTGCTCCAGCTTTAACCTCAAGCCTGGGGCCAAAGCCAGAGCTGAGCCATAATCTCCCCTGGGTTGGTACTCAAATCCAAGATGAGGCTCTCTTCTCCCCTCCCCACCATGCTGATTGCAGGGGAGGGGAACCACATCTTAGATTTGAGTAAATATGGTAAAATCTAAAGCATGTGCAGTATGTAACTGACAGATCACAGACTCACCTTTGCAAAGTGATACCCTCGGACTTGAGTTTGCCACCACCTCTGAAAAAATAGGCTATTCAAGCTGCAACAGCTATAGCCCCAACCCTGCAAGACAGTTAGAACAGACAGACCACTGGTCCTGTAAAGAACCACATCACGGTGGGACATCAGCATGGATGCACAATTCAAAATAGACTTCTATAAATAAATTGTTGATTTAATTACATGCCTCCCTTCCTAACAAAGGCTCGGGACATTGTTACACGTGCTCCAGGAGGTGCAGGGGGCCACTTTAATTAGCCCAAGCATCACATGTATCAATATCTCCCGCGCTGAAAAATGGCAGCTGGGCGCTTTGAACTAAAGCTCATCGCACAAGCTTTAGTTCAAAGCTAGACACTAATATATGTGACACCAGAGTCTGCTACAGCATGTTTATTTCTGTGCTCCAGCCGACTCTACTAATAAGTCTGCTCAGATGTGCTGTATTTCCAGCACAAAGCCAGCTCCCTGCACATGTATAGGAGCCCAGGGTGGATTGATCAACTGTAAAGACACAAAACTAAGCCAAGAAGATAAATTGCTTGCCCCTCTGTAAGCTGCTTGAAGCACCATCTACTCAAGTTAAGATTATAGTACAAAGTGAAAAGCAGAAAGAATGAGTAAATAGCATTTTGTTAAAAAATATTTATTAAAAACATTAAAGGATTCCTTGCAACAAAAGCTTGCAACATAACACCAGGAAAAAAGCCAAATCAGAAAGCTCTTCAATTGCTGTTTGGCATCATTTAGACTTAGCCTTCCATGATTTTGACAAAAAAAACCCCTAAGCCTGTTTTACAGGTGATTTTTTCCTTATACAGAATAGTAATGGTCAGAGGTCTGGCTTCCATGAATTTACAGAAGCATAGCAGGTACAGGCACATCATGAAAGGTGGGTTTTAAATGTGTCCTTGCAAAGACCACCAGCATTATTTTAAATCAATACAGTTTCATCATATTTAGAACTCTTATAACAGCTTACTTGTGCAAGCTATTTGTCATTTTGCATTTCACTGAACATGAATACTTCAGCTCTCACGCACCAGCTTAAGAATAGGGTTTCTAGTACTGCATAAGATTATTTAAATAAAAATCTCACATTTGAAAAGCATCATCTCTCTTAAAAAAACAAAAAGAAACAGACTGTTAGTTTTGGCCCTTAACAACACTTTGTGCTAATATTAAAATGTAAAAGTATTTTTCACTTAACAGGACCCTCGTGTATTAACTTAAATCTCTTTCCTGGCTGACTGGCTTCCAGTCTGCCAAATAAAGTCAGGCAGTGGAGGAAGGAAAAAAAAAAAGAAAGGAGGGCACACTTAAATAACAAGCTAGCTGCCATCCCATTTAAATTTATGCATAAGCATTGAGGGTAGTGGAACAGCTCTCAGAAGTCTATTAGCTAACTTGCGCTCTCTCTGCAATACTAGGGCCACATTATAGGTCTCAGTACAAAACACTGTTAACAGAGTAACACATTTCATTCTAAAATTAAACTGGAATCCTGAGGACCTCTCCCGAGGAGTTCTTGAGGCATGCAAACTGCTCAGGTGTTCCTCTGAAGTATATTCAAGCAAAAAGTTGCCTCTTGACATAAATAGCTTCCGCATCAGTACCACATACTAGACATGGTCCTAAGACATCCACACTGTTAACAGATAAAGTTGGATTTGGAATTACATTAGTGATCTCCATGCGGTCTTTGGTAGGATCATTGCTTAGCCAGGCACTCACTACAGACTGATTAACATTAGGCTGGTTAACGGCACTATGCGACAGAAATGTACTTCTTCCACCTTAAGAGTGGGGAGAAAGAGAGAAAAAGTTAGCTCATTCTTTGTTTAGCTATGTTCATGATTATGGATGGCATATTACTCATTTATTTCACATGGCAGAATACCAGTTTAAGATTGTACATTTATTTTTGGTTTAAATGGACTTATTCAAGTCTCAAGTAATGGGGGATATCTTTGTTTCACTAAAACAACAAGAATACTTTGTCTTTGCTAGCTTGTTACCAGCAGTTTCTCTAGCTGAATGGACCAGAATATTAACAGAATTGTAAAGAGCCTCCTTAGTGTTGTTATCTAGTAAATAGCTTGGAAATGTGAAATGTTTCTCTAGTAGAGAAACACTTTCACACTAAAGCAAGCCTAGACTCATACAAGAAAACCTGCAAACAGTACTCTATGGTTCTGGCTGCTTCCGATTTGCCTGAAATATTTAACCCTAGCATCCCCCCCTCTTATTTGTTCTGCCCAAAATGATACTCCAGATTTGATTTCATTTCTGCTACAGAAAGAAATGCAGTCACAAATTTAATAGTCAAATTAATATGCAGCACTGTCGTTAGAAAATTGAAGACAGACTATGGGCAGCAGCCTATTTAGAAACAAGTGTTTAACCAGCAGTGCTATAAGCCTGCCATGAAATATGTGAATGCCGCTGGATTTATTATTAGCTGTTTCAATTTTTCTCTTCAGAACTGACACCAGAGGGAAGGTTAAGGTGCTACACCTCATAAGAGTACCTGAATACTTCCTCTACTTTTATTTATCTTGATGCTTTGTAACCTGAAATTTCAAGTTTTTAAACACTAAAAGTCAGTATAAAGTCACATTTTGTATCTATAGGAAAGTAGAATTCAGTGTTAAAATACAGGTGAAAGAATGCTGAAGGTATTTTTGCAACAAAGTCTGCCCCTGTTACACCTTGGGGAATTATACAATTATGTGCCTGTGCGATTTTGCACATAAAAGGTGTGCCTTCGCATAACTGCATATTTTGCACTCCAACTGGGAGCCCCGTGATGTGGAAGCACAGAGCTGCACAACTGGTAAGTGGGGAGGGAAGCTCCTGCTTGCATGTGTGGAAGGGGGAGGAGGCACATGGGAGTGGGTGGGTACAGACTGCGAGTTATTGGGCCACATGAACTCCATGCCTCCACGTGGGGCTTCCAGCACTCCAACAGAAAGCCACATGTGGGGGCAAGCAGAAGCCCACCCAGCCCAATAGTGCGTGACTGTACCTCTATGTGCGGCTTCCCACTGGAGTGCTGGAAGCCCCACGTGGAGGTCCAGCCAAGCCTAATGGTGCATGGACTGGGAACTGTGCGCAAAGCTGCACATGAAAGCACGGAGTCGCACTCCATCAGGCCAGGTGGGCTTCTGCTTGCCTCCATGGGCAGCTTCCCACTGGAGTGCTGGAAGCCCCACACAGAGGCATAGAGTCTGCCTGGCCCCCACACTGTTGGGCCAGGCCAGGCCTCCATGTGAAGGTTCAAAGTGTTAAATATTTAGTTCAATTTGTAAAAATAAAAAGTAAATTAATTTTGCATAATTCTAAATTTTCCTGGGGAGTACCATGTTAGTATGCATCTTTTGTCAGAATACCCTTTTATTTTCAATTTCTTTCAACACGCATACAAAAGAGCTCTCCCATTTGCTGCCTTAAAAAATTTTGTCTAGAGGGACAAAAAAAGTTGTACAATTCATATGTCCACTTTGTTGTCTATATTAGTTTGAATTCAGCTCTCCACCATTTCAGTCAGCCTGTTACTGTATCCAGTAAATTATGGTCCCAAGGCTATGAGCGAGTTTGTGTTAAAAGGACCACAGTTGTTACTCAGAGCCACACTAGCACTTGAAAGTGGATGTACAGCATACCAAATTAAACTTTTAATCAGTAGTCAGCTGAAATGGCACCCAATTAAGTGCAACTTTATCATGCTTTATATAATTCAAGTGCCTTTAAAGAATCTAGCTGAAGGTAGGCCAGGGTGGCACTTGAGTATAATTGGCTCAGACATGAGCTTCTGTACTCAAACTACTTCACAAGATGCTATGAATGGACTTTAGGTAGTGACATGGCATTTATTTAAACAGTTTAGGAAGGGATATGGTATCTATTGTTCTTCAACACAGAGTTCCTTATCTTTGGCTTCCTGCAGGGAAGACAAGGTCTAACAGTAACAAACTGCTGGAAGACTGTTTTAGACTGGACATAAGGAAACATTTCTTTACCATCCGAGTCTCCAGAGTCTGGAATAGATTTCCCCCAGAAGTGATCCAAACATCTACCCTGGATACCTTTAAGAAATGCTTGGATGCTTACCTTGCTAACCCCAGCTGACTTCCTGCCCCTTGGCAGAACCCAATGATCTCGCGAGGTCCCTTCCAGCCCCAATATCTATGAAATCTACCCAGCTGTGAAAATTCTGGACATGCTGTATCTGATCCCTTTGTACTGGGGTGAAGGAGCAACAAAAGTGAAAGCATTATGGGTCTCTTAAGAGACCCACAAAAGGTGTCTCTCTCTTTCTCTCCCCCTCCCTAAGTCACTCTCAATTTCAATACTTTGATATAAGCAGAGAGATTACCCATCCACAACCAGACAAATTTTGAGCTAGTTGCCACTTAAACAAAACAGAATTTGCACCTGCCCAAAAGGATGTGCCTCCAGATAATCTTTACCTTGATGGAGAAAAGATGGTTTTTCAGATACCTCCACAGATGTATCCCAGTGCCAAAGAGATCCATCTTCAGAACAAGTAAATAAGTGATCTGGGTTTGAAGGATGGAAGTGAACTTCCCACACTAAAAAGTCAAGAGATTTAAACTTGTTACAGACTTATATGTAATCATGGGTAGAGTAGTTAATACTGTATTACTCTTGGAGAAAACTGCCCACACCCGTTCTCAAATATCACACCAAGTATATCCAGTGTGGGGCAGGTAGCAGAGAGCAGGCAGTGTGGAGGTGGTGGGGCAGGCAGTAAGAGAAGCAAGCAGCTTGCCCACACTTGCCCTCCGTTGTGCCTGCCCCTCCCCGCAAAGCCTCAGGTTGCATAAAAACAAAATAAGACATGCGTTTTTAAGTGTAGTCAGTAATATTTAGCTATTAACTGTTTTCCACTATAGCAAGGACATCTAGCCAGGACACAAAGACACTGTCAGGAGGATGAAAATGGCAGGCTTCAGTATGGTGGACTATCAGGCAAAAAGAAAAGTTACACTGCTGCCTTTCTAACAGCTGTATGTGCTAACTCTGGCTCCTTCACACAATGCACCCATTAACTGCCTCTTTATGTGCTGACCCACAACAGTCATGAGAACACAATAAAAAATAACTTGGTCTTGTCCTTCTACCCAAGCTTTTAATGTCAGAAACCAGCACTTGACAGCACATTTTTACCAGCAGGGGTCAGCATTCCAGGCACTGCCCAGCCCCAACTAGAACCTCTCAATGGTTACTTCAGTAAAACAAGCCCCCAAAATAGACTTTAATGTGAATGTTTGGGTTTTCTTCCAGAAAATAAGCTTGTCTAATACTCCTAATACAATCTGATATATTAGAGTGTAACAGATATTGAAATGTTTCTTGATGCGGTGCTGTAAAATAACTTTACTCCCTCTCTTTGCTACAGGGGAAGTACTACTGTTTCAGCCAATGCAGGGGTGTAACCCACTCATAAAATAACTAAAATGAAGCCATATGGGAAGTGCTGAAAACCGCTTTCCTCCTTACTCAAACCCATAGTTTTCAATTACTTCAATCACGTATTGTCATGTTAAAATGAATCCTATCAAAACAGGAACCTGTGCTGCATGGGCTAACAGAAGTACCAATAGCTATGCCTTACAGGAACATGGACAAACATTTAAAGGGGTCATAAGAAGTGGCTTGGTTTTGATTATATCCATTTTTATTCTTAGTTCGAAGAGATATTACTGTTAGTTACGCATAACACAGTATTAACCACTCTTGTAAGGCAAGGTATAAAATGAAATCAAGTATTTGAATAAAAAGAATCCCATTAAGTAGCCCATTCATAGCTTGACAAAACTATAAAGTAACGGCATCTGTTTCTGTTAAGACACTTACTTTCTGCATCATGAGCATTTAGCAATGACACTGGCATGCTGCCTTGTCTGACATCCCAAATACTCAACATTCCATCTTGGCCGCCCGTAGCTACAATATGTTGTTGGTTAGGATGTCTGTCGACACAGTGTAATGGTACTCTGTCCCCTGTCCTATTAAAGGGGAAAAACAACAGCAAATAATTCTTTGTACAGATACTTAAATTTTAGCCCTCCCAGCACACTATATTGTTGACCAAAACCAACAGCTGTGTTAACCATACCAAAGGCTTTAAATAGCTGTTAACAGACATTCAAATAATGAATTTTAATGCTTTGCCCATGCTATTATTGTATTTACAATTAGATAGGCACTAAACTATGGCCCTTATTATTTATTGGTAATTGAAATAAGCCCAAATGTCAATTTTAAATGGAAGTATATGGAAGTATAGAAAAGCTCTCCAACAAGAAGGGCTCTGGCACTAAAACAAGCATATTCTCATTCTAGTTGTGACATAAGCTAGATAAACATAGGGAGTCCAAATTACTTACTAACCACCACCTGGGCTTCATCCAAAGCCTACAGATATCAATGCAAATTTCTGCACTAACATTTACAAGCTTTCGATCAGGACCCACTTCAATTTCTTACATACCTAACTAGGAGCACAGAATTAGCTTTTAAAGCTTTTAGCCCTTATAATACTTTAAGTATTGTAAGATGATCCAGTATCTCTTTCCCAAGCCAAAAGAATAATATATTGAGAAATGGACACTGCAATTCTCCATGTACAATTATAATACTAAATTTAATTACTTATCACCTGTTATCAACAAGCATAATCCACAAGATTTACGACAGATTGCTTTATTGCTTAACTCGCACACACTCGCTGGAAATTCCAAGCTGGAGGATGGGGAGGGAAGGAGGACCCTTACAAGGAAAATATTTGAGATGGCTCATTTCTTTGCTGTCTGAAGTCCCATATTTTCAACTGTCCAATTGAATTTACTGTCAAAATTTCAGTCGTACGAAGAAGAGTCACTGCATGGAGTGTGCTGCTGTCTGCATTGTCTGAAAGAGATGTTGGGAAAGTATTGATTAAGCCAGGGGTGGCCAACCTGTGGCACAGACAGCCACAAGTAGCATACAGCAGATCAGGGAGGGAGTAGGGAACACAGCGGCATATAGGAAAGGGAGCAAAAACAGAGCAGGAAGCACTATACTGGGAACAGAAAGAGCAGAAGATTAGACAAGAGCAAGGGATTGGTGTGCCACCTGGGGATTCTGCAGAGCTAGCCTGTGGCATGCCCATCAGAAAAGACTGGCTCCCACTGGATTAAGCAACATGCATTTATTAACAGCTTTCAAGATGAAAATCTACAAGTTAACCTCTTTTCTAAGATTTCTCTTGAAAGTTAGTGCTATGAACAAACTTAGTCCCCCTCTATTTCTAGAAAGACTTCCAGTCTGCTCTAGTTTCGAGTTTACAAAGATGCAGTGGGTTGCATCTTTGTAAAGTTCTTTCTAACCGCATTCAAAGAAGCCATTTCCTTAACCAGAATTCTCTATTATATCTTATTATTATTTTAAAGTTATTAGATTTTATTTAGGCCACATATAAAACCACTCAATTAAGTCTGGTAATTAAAAATAGATTGCACACTTTAAAATATTCCTTGAAAGAACTATACAGCCCTAAGAGAATATATAAACTGTGCAGTAAAAGCCAGGGTTACTTTCCAAGGGTTGGATTTAATTTGACCTATTAAATTGGTCTACAAGTTGTTAACAAACCATCCTATGTTGCCAGGATATCCTGTATATCCAAGCCCATTGGGTTCATAAAAGAAGGAAGCTTTGAAACTTTCCATGATGCAATTTTGCTTTTCTTCCTGGCCTAATATCCATGCACTGCCACCATTTAGTATGTTTGTTAATTTATACTTTTATAGTAGTAGCTGGCTTCTGTTGCATCAACAGGAAGTAATTTTATTTCTCTAAAGACAAAGAATTACATATTGGTCATTTTACATGTAATTCAGTTGTTACTGTTCCACAGCCCATGTCTACACAAAAAAGAAATCTCTCTTCTTAAGAAACTGTTTCCCTTTTCCATTCTGATGTTTCTCAAATACAGGCCTCCAAATCTGAAATTAAAAAATGTCATAATGTTATGCTGGACTGTTTAGCCTAAGAATGTTCAACTTCCAGCCCACATGGCTCCCCCACAGGTCCAGAAGGGGTAATGGTGGCAGCAATAATGGGTGCTGCCCTGCTGCCAGATTCCCAGACTCATGAGCATCCCCATGGGCTGGATAGCATGGCCATGCACTAGATTAGGCGTAGGGCTATGGTCGTCTGGAGGACTGGTCCCATGCCACTCAACTGGCTTGAAGGACTAAAACGTTGAAGACTACTGGTTTAGCCCATGTTGGAAGTGGCAACCAAATAAAAGGTACTGCATTCCTTTCTGAAATTACAAATGCAAGGGTAAGCATTATTATTAACATACCTATAGTTCTCACAGCTTGTTTGTGGTCAGATCTAAAGAGATTTATTCTGCCATCTTCTCCAACAGTAACGATTTCTGGGTTCTTGCAAATGATCCCTGTACATGATGCACTACCACAGGTAGATGTATCTGAATCCACATGGCAATGGGCCCTCTCCCATTTTTGGGATACTGATAAAGTCTAAAATAGCAAATAGAAAATAAATTATAAGTATTCTATTCAGCACTTTTATCACAGCATGAGAAACTAAATTTTCTGAACTATTTAGGAGTCATATCAGAGACTAGTTCTGATAAAACAAGAGCAAACTATACTATTCTGAGGATCTTTCAAGTAGCAAGAGAGAGGTAATCTATTTCTTCTACTCCTCAATGCATAACTGCACACTATGTCCCAAGAAGGATGGTGACTGATGAACCTGTATACTCCCATTTCAGTTTAATTACTTCAGGATCTTAGCAGGTAAAAAGAAACCCTGGCAAAGAAAAGTCCATTTCTCACGTACAGTAAAATCTCTGTTATCCAGCATCCCCAGGGTAAGGGGATTGCTGGTTATGTAAAAATTCTGATTATTTGAAAACCCCCAGTAGCAGGGCGAGAAAGCATAACAGCAGCACAGGTGCTGGGTGGCGGCAGCTACTGCTGCGTACAAGCTTTCCCCTGTCTCCGCCTCTGTGTCTGGCTGGCCAACTGGAAATTCCAGTTAATGAAATTTCTAGTTAGTTAAATGCCGCGTAGCAGAAATTTTACTGTACTTCATTTAAGTGTAAAGCCTCAAGACTGAAAGTAGACTATGCACTTAGCAAAATTCAATACAAACTTAATGAGAAATGTGAACTAAGTTTTTTACACTTCATTAAGGCTCATTATCTAGTTTTCCAAAATACTGTAGATAGGGATCTACTTAATTTGCAGTTTGGCAGGTTGTGTGGAAACCGCAAAGATCTGGGATCGTCCAAAATCAACAACAAAAAAAATAATTTAAATGCTTGCTCCCCAGTGGGAGCCAGCAGTCCTCACTGCCATGGAAGGGAAGGTGCCAGCTGGCAGAGCAACACAAAGGGCAGCAGGAGAGACAGCTGTTGCCCCCTCATCCCTCCTCCCCACACTGGGGACACTCTACCAATCAATCAACACTAAGGGCCAGGGCTGCTACAGAATGACCACAGAATTAGAACTTTATGTCATGATCAACCACTGAAGATTAGTAAATACCCCTGCAATTTAGGTAGAACCCTAACCATACGTCTTCAACAGCTGTCTTGAAACCAACTGAAATTGGTGAACTGATTAGGAGTCCTCAATTACAAAGTTAAATGAGTGCAGTTACATTACTAAATACATTGGGGAGTTCCTATCAATTTGTGCACTTCAACCAATATTCAGATAGCCAATGTTTTATCATATAAACAGGGGAAAAAAAAATGTGGACTGAGGTGTAGTATTCAATGCCTAATGTATTTCCTCCCCTTCCTCAGGTAACCAAGTACACCATTTATTTTTATGAGCTGGGAATCTTCTTTGACCAGTGATGATCATTTACCTGGATCCAGTCTCTTCACAGGATTTAACCTGAAATTGGATTTTGATTAAAAAAACTAACTTAATATCAGTAATGAAAAGCAACTGGCAAAACAACAACCCTTTCTGTGTTCATTTTATTATGCAGTAGCAAGAACTAAATTAAAATGGCAACACACACACAGAGGATGGTATTCTTTCATAAAAAATAAGCATCATTAGAAAGAATCAGAAATAGAGTCACCATTAACTGAATCAAGTAATGTACTTATAGTCCGTTCACTGAAGCTGTAAGCATATTTGGTGACACGAGTACAGAAAGAGAATCTGTGGCACATGCTTCCCCCCAGGTGAATAGTCTATCAGATGATTAACGAAATGCTCCATATATGCAAAAAATAAAAATAAAAAAATCAAAGACAGACATGGTACCATTCTCCTCATTTTAAAAATGGTGGTTTGTAATTCTTCAGAATTTTAGTACTCAGAATTTCAGATACTTCATGATTTATTTTTTTTCCCCCATGAGGAATCTTTCCTCACAAGCACTAAAGCAACTTGCATTACAAGCTTAAACGACAAAAAGCAAAGTTTAACTTATAGCCAGAACAAGTTATTTACCTGGTTATTTTGATGGTGACGGAATATAGTTACGCTTCCAGTTGATGAAGCAGCTACAATTCTCTCTTGATCCAAAAACTAAGAAGAAATACTTAAGCTTACTACTATAAACATGTAACAACACAGAAACAGGTGTGGCATTACACTAGTCTAGATTTCAGAGCATACACATAAATTAATGTTTGAAAAATGTATTTCCTCCCCTTCCTCAGAAGAAATTATTTGACTTTTAATATTTTGGCATCCACTTGTTATTAAAATGATTATAAAAAGAACACTGAATATTTTACCTGCATATCCATAACATCACCATAGTGTCTGATATCACATAACAACTGTGGTTCTCCTTGATATTCCCCATTGGGGGACACACTTTCAGCATCTCCAACAGACCAAATGGAAATCTTGTTTTCCTGTAGGAGAAAAAGCATCACTAGATTAGTGATGCTAGTTTATTGGAAAAAGGTTTGGACAAATTTGTCAATACATCAAAGCTTTCAACCTCTTTCAAGAGTCAAGTTTAAGAAAAGGAAAAATAAAGGACCAATATTAAGAAAAACTACCATCAGACATCACGTGCTAACACTCCAGAATAATGAGCTCTAATAGTCAATGACAAAGCTGAGGAACACCAGGAACAAAGGGACTAAAGAGGGCTAAAAGACCTGCTGTGATCCAAATGCTTTTAACAGCTGACAATGACTGACAGTTCAGAACCAGTAGGACTTCGCTTCCTATGCATGCAAGACAGCAAAAAAAGCCAAAGCAAAACAAAAAGTCAGTTGGGTAAAACAGATCTCCTCTGCCAGAACATCATTCTTTAGGGAAAGTCGGTATAGAGACAAGAAAGATGATAAAGGGATCGCCAACTGAATGAAAGGCTGAAACTAGAAAATTGCTAATAGAGGCAGAGGTTGCAGCTAACAACTGTGGGATCACTCTAATGGGCTTTTTAAGTAACCAATCACAGAGCTGTAGAAAATGAGGGAAGGGACCTCAGGGGTCATCTAGTGCAACCCCCTGCTCAAAGCAGGGCCACCCCCAACAAATTCATCCCAGCCCAGGCTTTGTCTAGCCATGTCTTAAAAACCTCCAACGATGAAGAGTCCACCACCTGTGGGTAACCTGTTCCAGTGCTTTGCTATCCTCCTAGTGAGAAAATTCTTCCTAATATCTAAACACAATTTCCCTTGGTGCAACTTGAGACTGTTGATCATGGCTCTAATCTGCCACCACTGAGAATAGTCCAACTCCACTCTCTTTGGAACCACCCTTCAGGTAGTTGAAGGCTGCTATCAAATCCCCTCTTGGTCTTCTCTTTTTCAAACTAAATAAACTCAGTTCCCTCAACCTCTCCACAGAAGTCATGTCCCCCAGCCCCATAACCATTTTTGTTGCCCTTGTCTGAACTCTCTCCAATTTGTCCACACCATTTCTGTAGTAGGGGGCCCAAAACTAAACAGAATACTCCAGATGTGGCCTCACCAGTGCTGAATATAGGGGAAGAAATATTTCCCTCCATCTGCTAACAACACTCCTACTAATGCAGCCCAGTATGCTGTTAGCCTTCTTCCCAACAATGGCACACTGTTAGCTCATATCCAGCTTATTGTAACCCCTGTGTCCTTTTCTGCAGAGATGCTGCCCAACTAGCCAGCCCCCAGCCTGCAGAGGTGCATGGATGTTTCTTAACAACAAACCTACTTAGTTAATTTACTAAGAGGCTGAACCTTTTCTACCCAGCAGAAAAAGCCATAACCATGAAGGTGCACGTACACCTTACAGGGCCGTACCCTCCCCACAACAGGAGGGTTCCTTCACATACACTCCCCTCCCCAACAGGAAGGCACACAAACACACGGGAGCGAGCCGGGAGAAGCGCGGGGGCGACCAGGCACACCCACACAGCTGTAACAAGGCGAGGACCTGCAGTGTCCCGAGGAAGACAGGAGCTCGGGGCTGCCCCCAGAGCAGGGCCAGGGACACAACCGTGTCCCCTCATTCCCAGGCGCCAGCCCGACCCCACCCCACCCCAGGACCGGCGGGCGCCGCCCCGCCCCCCCACCCCCTCGGCCCC